GATTGACTTTTTCCTCCGTCGCTTCTGGCTGTGAGCGGATGGATAATAAAGAAGACCCAAGCATCTCCATAGAGTTTTTTTATTTTTTTTTGTTAATGCGCTCCTTACATCAATAGGCACGAGGGACTTCAATATGGAACTGAATGGCTGGATCAATCTGGAGATACAGGGCTATTATAAGCTCGGGTAAGTGTGGGTCATTTGCTGAAGCTGTATTTTGTTACTGAATAATAAAGTGCTTGTATGCTCTTTACGCATTTCAAACACGGTGGAGCGGTTAGCGTCCAAGTGGAGTTTCAGTGTGGTGTTTGCATGTTCTTTCTGCGGCTCTGTAGTGCTCTTTTTGCTTGTATATTGAGACTTGCGACTTTTTGGTTTTGGTGGGAAATCATCTGGACAATATATCAATATAAAACCAAAACTAATCAATTTTTGATTTTGTTTAAATGAATAATGGAAAAAAAAAAGGATAACGGCCGTTTCCCATGTCCGTGACTTAAACTGTGATGCCGGACTTTTGCATCACATACGGACTGAACCAGGAGTAAACCAGATCAGGGACCAGACCAGAACCAAACTGGGACTGAGACCAGGACTTAGACTGGAAACAAACAGGACTGAGACCTGGACCAGACTGGGACTGAGACTGGGACTGAGACTGGGACCACACCAGGACTAAGACCGGGACTGAGACCGGGACCAGACTGGGACCAGACCAGAACTGCGACTGGGACTGAGACCGGGACCATACCAGAACTAAGACTGGGACCAGACCAGGACTGAAAACTGTTTAGTCCTGGTTCAGTTCTGGTTCAGTCCGGCATCACAGTTTAAGTCACAGAAACAGGAAACGGCCGTTATCCGTTTTTTCCATTATTCATTTAAACACAAAATCAAAAACTGAAAAAAAAAAAAAAAGAATCGTTGTTCGTTTTTTTCATTTTGGTTTTGGAGACAAATAATGAAGAAAGTAGTTGTTTTTTTCATTTTCTTATGTTTGGTTTTATATTGAAAAACGAATGATACACGGATTATTTATAAATATTGATTGTGATCTCAGAAGCTAAGCGGGTTTGTATTTAGTTAGTATTTTGGATGGGAGGCTGTTGTGTCCTTAGGTAAGGCACTTCGCCCACATTGCCAAGTATGAGTCTAGTGTGCGCTCAGGTTTGTGGTTTCCTAAGTGCTGCATATATAAAAATGGAAAAAAATAAAATAAAAAAAGAGGGTACAGTTTAAAGGTGCATTGTGAAACTTTTCTATTGGAGGGTTCGTCAAATGCTTTTCTCCATGGAGATGTTATTGCTTTGTCTGGAATGTTTCACTGTATGATATTAAACCTTTCTATGTTCATAGAGACCAAACCAGACCAAGTTACACGTCAGATCTGTGGAGAAGCGACCCCGCTCACAGTCAGAAAGCCTGTTTTTCTAGGTATATTTGAGTCATAAAACCAAGTGTAATTAAATACGTGTAAAGTACTGCTGTTTTAATGTCATACTGTGGAACATTCCAGGCAGAGCAATGGCATCTCCATAGAAACAAGCAGGTGATGGACCCTCCCCCAGAAAAGTTACACAATGCACCTTTAACCTCGCCAGTCCTAAAACACTAAAACCAGTAAAGTCAATTAAAAGCATACCCATAAACTAGCAAGAAATAAAATCAATAAAAGAATAAATAAAATCAATACAATAATTTGAATGAGTCTGTCCCAGGGCAGCTGTGGCTACACTATAAGCTTACCACCAGTGAGTTTGGAGTGAACAAAACTCAAATCAAAGTATGTTTGTGACGAGGAAACAACATTGTAACATACAGTAGATCAGAAAATAGCGTAATATGGGCCATTTAAAGGTGCACTATGTAACCTTTACTCTTGTTTCCATAGAGACGTATAGTATTGCCTGTTTTTCACGGTAGGACATTAAACATTTCTATCACTGATTCAATTGCAGATGTTTCTATAAGTTGTTAAAGTTTGTTTGTATTCTTGAAAGACTTGAAATGAGTGGGCTCGCCTGGCCACAGATCTGACCTGTAACTTGGACTTGAAAGATAGATCATTCAAAACACAGCTCCAGGTATGTTTGTGATGAGGAAACAACATTATAACACATCAGAAAATAGCGTTATATAGACCCAGAATAAGATCAGGAAACAATTAAATCAATATAAATCTGTCCCAGGGCAGCTGTGGCTACAAAAGAAGCTCACAACCGCAGAGTTTGGAGCGAATAATACATGGATGTGTGCAGTGACTGAGAGAGTGGGAATCTGGAAATGCTCCAGCCAAAAATTGAGCACTTCTGGATTCACCCACTTAAGACTCTTGCTCCTCAAGGACTTAATGTGTACTTTGATCTAAGATGTTTTTTGTGATATGGTCCAACTATTTTTGTATTTTATGATCATGATTTTATGTAAATATCCAATAGGCTCTGTTCACGCTTACGTCACAAACCAGGAAGACGTTTGGAAAGATTCAATGACAACTTCTGGTGTAGTTCTCGACACTGAGTTCACCAGCCGACTGTGATCAAAGCCATTGAAGTAAATGTGATCAGCAGTAAAATGAAGACTGCATACGTATGTGCTGTTTGGAATCATCTTGAATTTGGCGCTTCATCTCTTCTAATCGCATGTACCCAGTGCGCTCGGAGTTGTGCGTCAGTGGGGAAATGATAAAAACTGAGGTGTGGTTGTAATATCTGGGTTTCACGTGACGTCACAGGGCTACGTTTGTCAGCATGCAAAATCAGATGGAGGGCAGGAAGTGAACTGACTGGAGGAAAATGCCGATGTGTTGTGTAGTTTACGGCTGTGCCAATTGTTCTAACCGAGAGAAGGAAAAGCGATTTTTTTAGAGTACCGAATATAGTCGTCCACAAAGGTCAGAAATGGGAAAAGCTGACAGAACAACGCCGTAAAAAGTGGATTACAAACCTGTTTGCAGTCGGAAGGAGCAGAATTTGCTAATGCTCGTGTCTGCAGTGACCACTTCAACAAAGGTTTGTTACAAAGCTAAATTGTTTTTTGTGGTTTATCTAAACATAAACGAATCATTAACAACTAACGGCTAACGACGTTTGTTGACATGAAATAGTTCAGATAGAGGTTAGTGCCGATACACTGCAGTTTTTCCCATAACAGTCTATACACATAAAATAAGAGAAACACTCACCCCGGCGAAGACCAAACGATAATCATCATTTAGGCGTTTTGCATTGGGGTTGAGGACCCATCCACTGACAAAAAAAGTTACATGCCTCCAAACTTTTGTACGCCTTCATCTGTTGTCTGGTGTAGAACGATGTCTGAAGAGCTAAATAGTTCCTGATCTCCTCTGCCTCGATTGTCGGCAAATCTTTTACTTCGGTTGAAAATTCTCTCATTTTCAATAAGATGGTGTCACGCCCAATATATTTGTCGACCAACTGCTCGTACTTTTGCCTTGCTGCTGGCTCTAAATCCTTACAATAAGGACTCTTCTCCATATCTGTGTTCTCCAGAGCCGTGTTTGTCATGTTTGCTTTCACTTCCTGCCCTCCACCTGAAATTCGTGCATCATCGTGATCACGTGACTGAAACCCTCCTATTTTTGATTATCCGAACATAACGGAAAGCTACAATGAAGTGTAGATGAAGAACTGGGCCTGGGAAGTTGAAATCGCATCTTTACAAACGTCTTCGTGAATAGAGCTTATTAGGGGTGTGCATTGCTTTGAGTCTGACGATACGATACATATCATGATTCGCATGTCATGATTCAATATATCACGATACTAAAACAATGGATGATATATGGCAACTTAACAGTAATTCCTTCTAATAATATAGTCAACTACACCTTCAAAAGAACACAACTGTATGAAATATAGTTTATAAACTTTTTAAAATCATGAGAACTAGGGGTGTGCAAAAATATTGAAATATAGTTTAATATGATGATACAGTATCGATATCGTGAGCTGCTGTATCGATATATCGCAAAGAGTATTTTTTTCTATATTTAACTAAATCATTTTGTTACAGTGCCACAGTTTTGTTGCTTGTTTAGAGAAAGGAAACTCGTATATGCGACACATTTGACATTTTCACTGTTTTGATGATTAAAATGTTTGTGTTTCAAATGAACTTTGCACAAGAAGTGGTTTAACAAAGACTTTTAGTGTCACAGCCATAATTTAGCCTTTATTTTTTATTAAACCATATTGATTTGATTTGAAATATATCATATCGAATCAAAAGCTCACTGTATCGAGATATGTATCGTATCATGGCCTATGTATCGTATCGGCAACTTCTTAATGATACCCAGCCCTAATGAGAACAGTGAATGTAACTAATGAACTTTTGTGGAAAATATTATTTTTAAAAATTGTTTTGGATCCATTTCGAATTTATTTGAGAATTGTGCAATGAAGTATTCGCCCACTGATCTGAAGGTTGGTGGTTCGAGTCCAGCTCTCAACATAAAAAACATCACAGGTTGAGTGGTCAGATCCACTGACCCACAGGTTGGCTGGTGTGACTCCAGCTCCCACAGATGAATGCTGTCGTTGTGTCCTTGGGCAAGACACTTAACCCACATTGCCCACAGTGTCTGCGTACACTGGTGTGTGAATGTGTGTGTGAATGGGTGAGTGATTCCTTGTTGTAAAGCGCTTTGAGTGCCTTGAAGGTGGAAAAGCGCTATAGAAAAATGTGACCATTTACCATTTACCAAGTATCATGATATATCACTGAATCGATTTTTTCTTACACCCTTGAAGCCTATTGTTTTTTCCTGTAGAGTGGGCTGATCTCACGGGGTGACCTCACCTTGGGACCTCGTATTCTTTGTTGGGGATATGAGCACCTGGGCTGGCAACCATTATGTGTACTGTGGTCCAAAGCAAGAAAAATGATCTGACGGACATTTTTTGCCAAAACGTTATTTAAAAAAAAAAAGCTTTTGGATATCGGCCATCTGCGTGTGCTATGAGAGTGAGTCTTACCACATGAGCAGCAGCAGCATCCCCAGCATGAGCGGAGAGAAGAGGGTCAGGACTCTGGCAGCTCTCCCCACTGGAGGTTCAGCCTTCTGAGGAGCCTTGGACGAGGGCACGGAGGACGGGCTGGTCTTTGCTGTGAAACAATACAAACAAGAGATGAGTCGCAATGTATACATGCACTGGAACTCTGAGTGTGCTCTTGGTATGATTTCTAAACTTGTTTTTCCAACCAGTCAGACTTGTCCCGGTCTATAGGCAAAGAAGTGAATATGTGTGAATCAGTATTGTGTAGTAACTTGAAGGCGCTGTACCTGATTTTTACTCTTAAATACATGTACTAGTTGTTCCTCGATGACCATATGTAATTTCAGCATCCTAATTATTCACCACAATGAGTTTAGAAGTGGTTTTAACAACTTTTAGAAAATGAATAGTGGTTTTATACTGTATATATCAGGTTTGTGGAGAGCTACAACCTGTTGACTTTGAACCTTACTTTCTTATTTATGGTAGAAAATGTGTTGCTCACAAGTAATTTGCTGTCTGCTGCGTTAATAAAAGCAACAAAGCTCTGGTAGTTTTCACTTTTGCTTTTAACATTGTAAACCAAAATTCTGAACAACATAATCTAACAGGATTGCATGAAAAAAATAGTTGCAGTCCTAAATGTTGATACTTTTGATACTTTGCAGTGCACATATTAGCAAACATTGAACAAAAAGGAGAGAGTGACTAACTGAGAAACTCTTGGCTAATGCAAACTAGCCCATGACTGTAATTTTATGTGTGAGAGACTTGTTTAGGACATTTCTTTATGGTCAAATTGTGTTAAAATAAAGCTCAGTTTAAAATCTAACTTGAGTAACCGAGCTTGAGATTGAGTAGTATCACCGCTTCAGGGAATGTTAATGACATCAGCTGCCAGAGGTGGGACTTCCAAGTCGTAACTTGGACTCGAGTCAGACTTGAGTCACTATTTTTAGGACTTGAGACTTGACTTGACAAAATGGACGAAGACTTTGGACTCGATTTGGACTTGAAGGTCACATGTTGAAATGTTAAGACATATTTTGTATCATTTCTAAACTTTTTGTAATTATTTTATTGACTGTTTTGTCCCAGTATTGCTGCTTCAAGTTGAATGCTGAAAAGAAAAAGAAATGGGCTACATTTAATGTCCAAATAGGCGACTTATGGATCCTTTTATTGCTGCTTCAAGTGACTGTTTTTCATTGTTTAAAACTTGAGTAATAATAATTGTTCAGAGAGACACGATCACTCAGTCAACAATAAAATATCCTCATTAATGTTCAATAATGGTCAAATCCACCTTTATTTTGTGATTTACGAATAATGTCTATTGACTTGGGTCGCAAAGGTCTGTGACTTTTAAAATATGGGTCCCCAGAAAAAAAGTTGAGACTTGAACTGATAAAATGAACTAAAACTTGGGACTCAATTTGGACTTGAAGGTCAATGACTTTGGACTTGAGAAGACTTGAGAGGCACTTTTAGATCAGTTTTTTTCTATTCTGACTGTAATGATTCACTCTAAGATCTTGTCAAAACATTTAAAAAGGAAAGGTTTGCATTACTACAAATCATGCATACTCTATAAATACTCTTATATAAATATACTATGGCTTTATAAGTACAATTTCTCTAAAAAGTCATATAAATTGCAAAATTCTAAGCTATATTTGGTACTTTGGTTTAAAGATTTGAAATGACTTGAAGCTAAAAGCAGACGACTTGGACTTGATTTGGACTTATACACTGCAAAAAACTAAATCTAGTCAAGTTAAGATTACTTGAATTAAGAACATTTATCATGATTTGAGTCAAAATTCACTTGGCAAGTAAAATAAAAAAAAAAAAAAAAAAGACATTTTGTACTTAAAATATGAAAGTACATTTTGCTACACTTAAAATAAGACAAGCAACAACTCTTTAAACTTAAAATAAGAAACAAAATCGAATGTTGCTTGAATTAAGAAAAACACTTATTCCATTGGTAGATCATTTTACTTGTCACGTTGAATCTACTCAAATAAAGTAAAATATTCTTAATTTAAGTCATTTTAACTTACATAGATATTGTTTTTTCCAGTGTAAGCCAGTGACTCGAGACTCAGCTTGGACTTGTCGGTATTTGACTTGGGACTTGACTCAGACTTGAGACTTACTTGAGACTTACAAAAGAACAACTTGGTCCCACTTCTGTCAGCTGCAAAGTCTCAAAAGCAAACCTTTATTTCTATTGTACATTCTATCTTTTTCCACCCCGTGCAGTTGAATGCTTCTCCCTGCTCCATCACAACGATCCGTAGCCTGCAGACAACTTTTAATCACAATCACATAAGCGCAGATGTACAGTTGACTTGTTATTTGCGATGCCCGCGGCAGTCTTAACTTTCAGAACGCCACTTTGATGAATGAGCGAAAAGTGCCCATCACGGAGAGGCACAGAAGTAAACAAATAGGAAAAAGCATCACGCAGTCGGAATCAATTCTAATCTGCAAACGCAATCAATACGCCGACTTGTCAAGGCGGTTATGAAGTGGCTCGGGTGGGGAGCGGCAGTCCAGATAAGCCGGGGAGAAGGGGGGATAAAATACTGTGAAAAATAATAGGTCTGCTGGAGTAAAATAAATGAGTAGGTTTCAAAGACAGAAGTGCGATAGAGATGGATGAACAGGGACGGTAATAAAAACGTCAAAGCAGATTTAAGCTCGTGAAGAATTGACAGAAAACGCACTCACCAATATTGTTATTGTTTGTTTTGAGTGCGTTTTGTTTTGTGGTTCGCGTCAGCCGTAGTTACGATTTTTGTACGTCTAAAATTTGGCGAAAGTATATAGGAAGTGTTTGAATCACAGTTTGTTTTTATCTTAATATTTAGGTCATGATTTGGTTTCAGTTTTAATACATTTACTGTGCACTTTTATTTTTATTTTTATGGAGATGTTGCACAGCATGGCATTGAACTTGTCTCGATTATATTCAAATTTATTGCTCCAAAAAACTGAGAGTGGGGTCACCTCTCCCCGGATCTGACCTGTAACTTTGGCTGGCGCTTGCTTGTTTTCATAAAGAGAAATCAGTGCAATGCCATACTTTGGAACATCTCCAGCAAACTAATAAAATCTTCATAGACCAGGTGGCGGACCTTAAGGTAAAATATAGTTCCCTATTGTAAAAAAATCAGCCCTGCCAGCAGAGGGCGCCATGACTCCAAATGCTTGAGCACTAAGGAATGACGCAGTGTACAAAAGTGATGTGATGATTTGGCCAAATGCGTTGGGCTTTTAAAAAACATGGAGGAGCATATTTCAAATTTTGGGGCCAATCTAAATTTGCAAGATTACAAATGGCCTACATATTAAAGGTTGTATAGAGGATTTTTTAAGGAAAGAGAAATACAGCGAAAGCCCTTTTTCAAATGTTGTGCATGCGTGACACCACCTTCCTCCTCCACAACTCCCTCAGTAGAAACACCTCGTCCCGCCTACTTACTCTAGAAATCACTCTTTTTTACAGCCAGTGCGCATTCATAATTACTGTTGAAGTGACCTGTCTAGAAATAATTTAGCGTCAGTTTTTAAACCCTTCGTCTGCTTTAGTCGCTGGAAGGAATCTCCAAGAATCACCTCAGTTTGGCTTTGCTCCTTTTCCCCTTCTCCTTTCAGCGACCTCAAAAACTGACTTTATTTTGCGGCGAACTGGTCGCGGATTCTCGTCCGCCTTCGCAACAAACTTTGTGCGAATTGCGAGGAAGCTACAGTTTGAAAAAGCCTCTAAGAACTGCTGCATAAACCACGTAATCCCCGCATGCCGGCAAGTCAGTTACACTAGAAACGTAGGGAGTTTGATTGACAACCTAACAGCCAATAGAAAATGAGATAGCCTCATTATCTATTCGCTGAAGTTTATCTGGCCTCACTACGTCCACAGTTGATAGATTTAAATTTAAAATTTTTTTTGGTCATCATAATTACAAGGCTGCTGCGTCTCTGTAATGGTATTTTAAAATTTCATTGACAATTTGAAACAAAAAAAAAATCCTCCATACAACCTTTAAAGAAATCTCAAAAATGTCAAGGAAAACAACATGAGAAAACAATCAAACTTCTATTTAAATCCACAAAATGTGTTCTTTCCAACAGGGACAAAGAAATCAACTGAAACCATCATAATGCCCCAGTTATTCTATCACCTAGCAACCACATACTAATCCATCTTTATTCCAGACTCATTGGTCAATTTTTAAAACAGACAAGGACAGTGACATTACAAAACAATAAGCATTTATGTTTTTAAAAGACAGTCATACCAGTGTCTCCACATGTTAGACTGATATCTTATTGCACTGAATCTCCAATTTGTGAGTGACATTATTTCATTGTCTGATTTGTACAGTCCGCAAATAAAACTGTACATTAAAGTTCTTAGTAGAGCTTGCAGAGTGTTCACTCGTGCTGTAACAAACATCTCAGTCGCACTTTTCCATCGTGGCCTCCTCAAAAACTTTCACAAAGCATCACTGTAGGCGCCTGCAGTCTTTACAAACTGGATTTTGTGTAATTAATCCAGAGGTGGGCTGTGTACAGCGGTGTATAATATGATTTAAACTATAACAACTTTACAGCAACTTTTAAGAGTATTTGCCTGAGCATAGAGCATCCTACACTGTCTATACATATCATCATCATCATCATCATCATCATCATCTTCCATGTCTGCAGTGATGATACGCCCAAGATATAGAATTTTTGTTGTGACAGGCAAAAGTCAGGATGTGATGTCTCGTGATTGTCTTCTTTGGTTCTCCAGATCAGTGTTTCCCAAACTTTTTTTCTGGAGACCCATATATTAAAAGTCACAAACCTTCATGACCCAAGTCAATAGACATTATTTGTGAATCACAAAATAAAGATGGATTTGAGCATTATTGAACATTAAAGAGGCTGTTTTATTGTTGAGTGATCATGTCTCTCTGAACAATTTGTATTACTCAAATTTTAAACAATGACAAACAGTCATTGAAGCAGCAGTTAAAGGATCCATAAGTCGCCTATTTGGACATTAAATGTATTTCTTTTTCTTTTCAGCATTCAATTGAACCAGCAATA